AAAGTTTTCTTCTATGATTTTGTTGAATATGTTTTCTGCGCCTTTGAGTTGGATTTCTTCACCTTCTTCTATACCTATTATTCTTAGGTTTGGTCTTTTCACAGTATCCCATATTTCCTGGATATTTTGTGTTAGGTATTTGTTGGACTTAAGATTTTCTTTGGTTGATGAATCTATTTCTGCTAGTGTGTCTTCAACTCCTGAGATTCTCTCTTCCATCTCTTGTACTCTGTTGGTTATGCTTACATCTGTAGTTCCTGATCATACCCAGCTTTTCTGTTTCCAGCATTGCCTCAGATTGTGCTTTCTTTATTGTCTCAATTTCAGTTTTTAGGTCTTGAACTGTTTCTTGTATTTTTTGGTTTGTTTTGTCTTCAATTTCTTTAAGGGATTTTCTCATGTCCTCTTTGAGGTCCTCTATCATTTTCCTGAAGATGTTTTTAAGGTCATTCTCTTCTGGTTCATCTCCATCGTGATGTTGAGGTCTTACTGGTGTATGGTTCCTAGTCTCCGGTGGTGTCATATTGGTTTTCTGTTGTTGGATGTGCTTTTACCTTGTCCTCTTCTCATCCTTTCTTCTGGTGGGTGTAGCAAGTGTTTCTCGTTCTCCTGGTGGGTGTGGGACCACGGTTCCCTTCTGGTAGATGCAAACAGATCCAATACTTGGATGTCGGTCCTCTTCTTGTGGATGGAGGTGTCACTGTTACCTGGGTGTCGGCAATGTCCGTGCGTGCCAGGTCCCACTGGGCGGGCAGTTGGAGGTAGAGCTGTCACCAGGCCTCGAGGTGTCTGATACCACTGCTGAACTCCATATGACCATACGGAGTGACCCTTGTGTCAGATGACTCTGAGCAGCGATGACGAACTGGAACTTGAAACAGTTCTTGGCCTACCTGGACCGGTGGATGGAGGCCGGGCTGCCTCTGGGTGATCATTGTTTGGAACCCACCACAGCCCCCGTACTGGGTCTAGCAGGCACGTCGCTTGCCTCAGATGACGCTGAGCAGCGATGACAAACTGCGAGAAATCTTTTCTTAAAAACAATTATTTTGCTCTCCTGTTTTTTGGAATGAAAGTATTGAAATAAAGTAAGAGTTATATTGACTCATAGGTTTTGTAGATGGTGCACTTTCATGTTGTCAGTTCCTCTTTTGGTACCTTGTAATCCATTTTTTTTTGTAACTTGTAATTAATTTTTAAAAATTATTTTTATGTGTGTGTAATTTTTCCTACATATTTGTGTAGTGCCCATGGAGGCTGGAAGGTGTTGTCAGATACCCTGGAACAAGATTTATGGACAGCTGTGAACTGTGCTACTAGAATATCTCTCCTCTCCCTTGTGACCCCTGCTTAGGTGATTCTATGAGTTTTGTTCTTCTGTTGTACTTCTTGACCCTTCTGGCTCCTACAATTTTTCCTCCTCTTATTAGTCAGGGTTCCCTGGGCTGAGAAGAAACTACTCAATATTCACCAACCAGTGGAATAACTTGTGATATATAACTAGAAATGAAAGGGACACACACACACACACACACACACACACACACACACACACACACACACACACACACGTTTTACAGTAGGCTAAATTTCAAAAGTACTGTACAGAAAGTAGTCTACAAAAGCATTTACTGTATTGTATATTTCTGTTTGTATTAAGTGTAAAACTAGGCAAAATCAAATATAAGCTGTTGAAAGTCCTAATGGAAGTACTGACTAACAGGGAGGGTTGAAGAAGCTTCTGAAGTGCTGTTAATTTATTTTCCGATACAGATGTGTCAGTATAGGATAACTCATCAGGCTGAAAGACGTTTATGCAGTTCATTTTATGAATATCATAGTCCTAAAAGCTTTTATAACATATGAATATATTGTAACTATATTGTATTATGCACTTAATTATATGTTTGATGATTTGGGGATGTCAGTTAGCATGCACTATTATTTTCTTCTTCCTCATTTACTTATCAGAAGACTAAAATAATAAAGACATTTCCTAGGTCTTAGCAGTTCCTTTGGCTTCCTACATGGTAAGTAGCTCTCTAAAGTACTCCTGTCAGAAGCGAGGTGAGAGAAGATCCTTAGAGAAGAGGAAGCATTCTTTTAATAAGGAGACAGTGGACCTGGAGATTGGTACTAAGCATGGGATCTGGCTGATGGTGCACCTTCTTGACCACTCTTCTTTTAGGAGCCAGAGAGATCTGCCAATTTGTCCAAGATCACTCTGCTTCTGGTAGGCTTTGTGGATGAAACAGAGTCAGTTGCACTTAATTTTAAGTGACTCATATTTGAGGCTAGAATAGTAAGCTATTTTAGCAAGTTATTCTCCTCAGTATAACCCATAAGGAAGATAACATGGTAAGCAAGTTAAAGCAAAAAAAAAATTATTTAAACGACTTTTAGTGTATGTGTTTTTGAACTTTATATATTTCTTGTGTTAAAAATATTACTTGCTGTATACTAGATTCATATAAAAAAGATTTATAAGCTAACATTTTTTTCTATTTTCATTCTTCTATGTATTTTTCTGGTCCCTTCAACCTCCTAAGTAGTTGGGATCCAGTCTTCTGCTAGAGCCTCTAGTTCTATAGGTCTTCACTTGAGTTCTTTGCCTTCTTAGTATATACTGAGTTTAGTTACTGTCATAAATGAGTTGAGAAGGAATTACTGCCTAATGATTTGGATTAAAGTGTCTGCAGAGAGGCATCCAGATGATTCAGGGTATAAACATATATGAAGAAAATAGCCATTCTGAAAATGGCCACAATTCTGTTTCTCTGACATTCAAAACCAAGTATTATATGTAGTCAAGAGAGCTATTTTGTGGGTGAATGAATGATTGATACTTTACACTCCTGGAGCAGGTGCTAGCTCTGTCTTATCATAAGCTAAGCAATACAGCTTAAGGCAGAAGTGATCTCTAAATTCTAAGAATTGGTTCATGGGACAAATTCCAATACCATGCAGAACTAAGAAGATACCATGTCATAGTTCCCTTTGCTTATTTCTTTTTAAAAATAAGTTTGATAATTTCAGATTGATTGATTCACTGTGTCAAGATCATTTGGTTTTTGTATTTCAGTTTGTTAATACAACTTTTCAAATTAATACATTGATGTTAGACCACTGTGCATTTTGGGGAAATCAATTTTCTGCTTTCTAATTAAATTTTTAAATAGTTACCTTGCTAAGCCTTTTGCAATATTAATTAAATTAAAAGTATTGTTTAAGTTCATATTTAAATTGATGGATTTCATTTTTATTTTCATACACCTATGGTATTATATTCTGTTCTTGTTGATTCCTATCTCTGGTGACCTCTTCTTGCCTGTCCTCTTCTTATCTCCCAAGTAGTCCTTCCTTCTGTGTTCACATCATACATATTTCATTACTTTCTCTTCCACCTTCTCCCAGCTTGTAAGATTTCTTGTTTTCTCCATCATGGTCCTCTTACGGTTTTCATCCCCCCCTCCCCCCGCAACATGCTCTGTATGTGTGTGTTTGTGTGTGTGTGTGTGTGTGTGTGTGTGTGTCTGTCTGTCTGTCTGTTCTGAATTCCATATATGAGAAAAAAAATGGACTATTTCTGAGTCTGCCTTGTTTTGCTTAATATAGTTTTATCCTGAAAATATCAGGATTTTACTTTTCTTTACAGCTGAAGAAATTCCATTTTATATCTTCATTTTTAAACAAATACATAACTTTTGTGTATATAGTATGATCTTAAAAATATTTACCTTATTCATGACCTTGACTTTTGTATAACTATTAAAAACAATATAGAAAGCTGGGTGGTGATGCTGCATACCTTTAATCCCAGCACTCAGGAGGCAGAGGCAGGTGGATTTTTGAGTTCGAGGCCAGCTTGCTCTACAGAGTGAGTTCCAGGAAAAGCAGGGCTACACAAAGAAAACCTGTCTCCAAAAACAAAACAAAAATGAAAACAACAAAAAAGAAATTAACATATCTGTACATATGTATACACACACACACACACACACACACACACACACTCAGGAGAGCACTGTTATAGAAAACATTTTATTTATAATTCAATGTATGCCTTTTTCTTGTTTGTTATTGTAAAAGGTAAAAGCTGCCTTTAAAAAATTTCTTGGTTTAGAAATGTTATTGTTGGGAAATAGTACCAGCATGTTAGGAGTGGCCATCTTTGGTGTAATTGTCTTATGTGTAATCCTAAAAATGTTAATATTCTGAAAAGCTAAACCTATTAAAAAATGAAATAGTTATGAACACAGATTATACCTTAAAACTTCTGGGATTGTGAACTACTGTAACTTCCAGAAAGTCCACACAGAGTAGTGTAAAGTACAGGAGACCGTGGAAGACATCTGTGGGGGTGACACACAGAGTAGTGTAAAGCACAGGAGACTATGGAAGCCGTCTGTGGGGAGACACACAGAGTAGTGTAAAGCATTGGAGACTATGGAAGCCATCTGTCGGGGTGAGCTAACTGACTTATTAAGTGAAACAAAAATGACTTACTACTGATTCTTTTTCAGGGTTTTTTGGTTAACTCGAAACCAGAGAATGCTTGTGAACCCATAGTGCCTCCACCACTAAAAGACAATTCATCCAGCACCTTCATCGTATTGATTAGAAGACTTGATTGTAATTTTGATATAAAGGTAATATTTTCCTTTTGATAAGATTTTTTAGGTATCTAATTTAAATTCTTCCCCTTTCAGGAAAGATTAAAGTCAGTGTATGAAATTATTCAGATTAAAATAAGAATGAAGCCAGTCCAAGGAAATTACAAATTGTTGAAAAGAAGACTAGGGAGAAATTTTATTTAAGTGTCATTTGTTACAAAGTGAACTTTAGGCATTTCATGGCTAGTGGAAAAGGGGAAAAGGAAGATGCTGTCTATTTTAGGAGGCTTAGTTTTAGACTAAACTTTTACAGTTTAGACAAAATGCTTACCTTTAACCTTTTTTCAACACTGACATGGAAATCTCTTTTGTACATTTAGTCCATCCCTGTATTGGATTTTGTCTCCCTACAGGTGGGGGAAGCTGACATTTCAGATAGTTAAGCAGAGCTCTCTGTAGAACTTCTATCCCTTTTGGATTTATTATATAATAATAATAATAATAATAATAATAATAATAATAATAGTAATAACAACAACATGGTGTCTCTATGTAGCCTTGACTGTTCTGGAACTCTCTATATAGACTAGTCTGGCCTCAAGATCACAGGGATCCATCTGCTTCTGCCTCTTGACTGCTGGGATTAAAGGCACACAGCAGTATGTCCTGCTCTCACTATTATTAAAAGGAAAATTTCTTAGGTCAGCTTTGTTAGCCTGAGTTAATTTGAGCAAAGTAGAACAAAAATGATCTGTGAGCCAGGTACCTTCTAGAATCACAGCTGACTGTGAGACTGCTACCCAGCACCACCATCAGTCAGTCAGCCATGATGAAGACATGGAAGTGAGGCATAGGGAACAGCTTAAGTGGCTGTAGTTAGTCAATTAATTAGTCATTTGAGGGTAGTTTAGTCAGCCCCCGGGGCTCCAGCACTCACAGAGCTCAGTACTGGGATAGAGTTCTATACTGTTTGGTCTACTGGATCCAGTTGGGATCTCAGAGCAAAGATTAATTTCATTTATAGCTCTGTTACCAGTAACGTGCTAAGGTGTGGTTTCAGTCTGTTGTGGATCAACTGGGAGAATAACCTTGTTGAGCCTGTATGAAACAACATCTTGATGTTATAACTAGGTACACTCAAAACTCTCACAGAGTAGACACTGGATATTATTTTAATACATCTTACATAGTTTGATCATACTTGGTCTGTTCAACCAGAAAAGCCATTCTGAACTTTGACTCTTAACTTTCATTACATGGAAGAAATGACACCTCTATAATAAACTCATTAAAAGAATAAGATAATAATTATAAAGGAACCTGAAAATACAAGAATTTGTCCAGGATAAGTCTCATTGTTATTGTATATTAGTTCCAAATTTAGACTCTCAATTGCCTTTCATGAGAAACCAGTTAGTGTGTGAGTCAGAAGAATTGCTTCTTCTTAGTTATTTATGTAGTTTTAACTTAAACCAGTTCAATATTTGACCCAGAAGTAAACTTAGTACAGATTGTCTCAACCAAAATAAGATGTAATAACACATTAATTTTTGCTAGGAAGAAATAAAACTAAACCACTGGTGTTGGCTCAGTATTCATTTCTGACTCAGTACAGTCTTCACTAAGAAGCTAGGGTTGCTCTAACTTTTCTTGTTAGATGGAGACTGGAGACAGGTGATCTGGAAGTGAGGGAACTACTGTTCTTGTGTAAGATTGGGATAGGCAGGCAGGCTTTTAGCTTAACCTATGCCTTAATGCATTCTAGCCATGAGTCTGAGTGTGTCTAACACCTGCCCCTGCTTTCCATCGACTGCCTTTAAATTTGTGTGCAGCCACACTACCTTTTTGAAGCTTCTCCATTTGTGGGTATGTTGACAGCACCTTTATGTTTTACATAATTTTCTCAGTCCAAGATTTTTGTTCAAGATGATTGTTATCTATTTACGTGGTTATTTATGTGTTACAAACATGTTACTTACTCTGGAAGCCTCACTTCCTTATCTTCCGTCTCTGGGTTACTAATCAAGGGTTACTAAATCAAACTATGCAGTAGTCAGCTTTCTGCCTTTGTGCATAAGGCATCCTTAGAGAATATATATGTGGGAGGCAAGAGAGACGTCTTGGTAGTCAGAGTGCATATTTGTAGAGGACCTGGGTTTGATTCCCAGCACCCACATCAGGAAACTCATACCTGCCTGTAACTCTAGCTTCTGGATATCCCATTCGTGCCTCTAGCCTCTGAGGGAACCTTTACTTGTGTACACATACCCCAAACACAGACACATACATATATTTAAAAATTAAACTAAATCTAAAAGAATGTATGTATGGAAAACATGTAGAAGTGTTTAAATCAAGCCATTTTCATTTTCATTTTAGGAAGGAAGATGTTAATGTTTTTTCCAAATTAAATTTTACCATATAGACACAGTCTCAATGGATGAAATTTTAGTTGGTTGTGCAGGATTTTTTTTTTAAAATATTAATTTTTCTTTAAAGATGTGCTTAATGACTCAGGTGATTTCCACTGATTTTCATCTTCATAGTTGTATTAAATACAGGGGCATCAGTTTGGGGGAAGAAGTGATTATAATCAAGACCTGAAAATAAATTATATGCATTTGAATCCCAGATGCCTGTCAGTGCCTTGAATGTAAGATGCAGGCAGTAGGTGTTAACTGTTGGTGTTTCACCATTTTCCTGTTTTAGACAAATATAATAAGAGCAAAAGTGACAGTTTTAAAGGAATTAGTTACTGGTAAAGGACATTGATTTAGTGACTAGGTATCAATCATAAAATTGTGCTGTTGATTAAAAAAGGCAGTTTAGTTTCATTAGCATGTAACAAAGAAAATGCAGGTTATTACTAACAGTAGTAATTATGTACCACCTATCAAACTAGTTTAAGGAAGGGTAAAATCATCTTAGTTTCTGGAGGAACAAGTGTAATTTTATCTCAGATAATTTCTGATGAATAAGTATCAGCCTTTGATAAAAAAATCACTGTATTGTTCTGAGCTTCCAGATGGATTATTATATACAGCTTTATATTACATATAGAATTTAATAATTTACAATGTAGATATAGAACTTTTTTCTGAATTTACATGAATATATTTCAAGTAGTTGATAGTGGTCCATTTATGCCTATTTGTAATTTCATTGAATACATTGGCTTAAGCAAATGTTAGAAAACAAACTCATTTGCATGTTCCTCAAACACAGTATACTCAGATTACTCTGATGTCCCGTAATGAATAATGTTTAGGCAAGAAGAAAATATGTAACTTACGAGAAAGATGACTTATGTCACCAAACTGTCAATGAGAGTAAAACATCCTGTTAAAGCTGCTTACAGGGTCTAAGATTCCTTGGGGAGCAACTTGTAGGAGTTAGTTTATCTGGCACCATGTGGGTTCTAGAGAGTTAGCTCATAGTCAGGCCTGGCAGCAAGCTCCTCTCCTTGAGATAAGGTCTTACTTTGTAGCCATGCTGGCATGACATTTGCTGTGCAGTCCAGTCTGTTCTTAGACTTGCAGTGATTCTTCTGCCTTCACCTTTATCTTGTACTTCAAACCTTTATGAAAAGAAACATTGTTTCTTCAGATCAGGGGAAAACCACAACAAAGCATTTTCTGCTTGTTGGTTTTTTTCTTTTTTTCTTTTTCATCTTCACACTGCTCTTGTAAAATTTATTTTTAAAATGCTATACATAAAATTGATCTTTTCTGTGCTGGGCATTTCATAGCACTCAAGGAAAAGTTGCTGAATTTGAATGTGTGTGTAGATAGAAAAGTATAGTATAATTAATTACAGTTTGACAATGTCTTCAAAAAAGTGCACAGAAAACAGTAGCATGGGTTTTCAAGTTTGGGCAAGACTCCATGGAAGAGTCTGCAACTTAGTAATAACAGAATTACAATACACCATTTAGGTCAGAATTATAGAGTGCATGAGGCACCGGAGGGCACCAGAGAAGGCCCTGCACCTACAAAAGTGTGCCTATCTGCTTCTGTCTTGAGACAGCGTCTCATTCTACAGCTCTTGCCAGCTTGGAACTCACAGAGATCTTCTTGCCTTTGCCTTTTGAGTGCTGGAATTAAAGGTGTGAGCCACCATGGCTGGTCCTTTTGTACTTTTTGTGGATAAAGAATATTATTTGTCCAATAATAATATTTCCCCCTTCTTGTTTGATGCTGTTCTGAAAGTCTATGGGGTTTTGTTCCTCTAAATTTTGATTTATAGCATTAGAGCTTATATTTTATGTAGATCTGGATACTAAGCCTTAAATATTGGGTCTAGGATGCTAGAACAGTGAGTGGGCATTAAAAGACATGTGTACTCAAGACCTATCACTGGGTGTCACTAAGAATCAACATTCTGATTATAATTACTCTATCACAGTTATTTGTTATTTGTCAAGGACAATGTGAATCCTTGCCATCTGAGATAGTCCTAGTGCACAGATAGGAAATACAGAAACCGTGTGTTCACAGTGATGGGTATGTTGGAATACCAGCTCTGCTGTGTTAGGTTGAGACATAGTAAGATTGGTTGGGATATGAATCCTGTCAGCACACAGAACGTAATATAAATATCAACTTAGAATAGAGATTTCATTTTCATATGCATTTTAGTAGTAGTAACCCAAGGAATGCCATTTTTGAACTTAGCTTGCAATCCTAGCACTTGAATGTTTAGGCAGATTTTTCACTAAGAAATTCAGCTGAGAAGTTGCTGAATTCTAAATGTCAGGTTGTGAAAGGGTTTCGTGTGTGTGTGTGTGTGTGTGTGTGTGTGTGTGTGTGTGTGTGTCAGTAAAGAGATACTGATTTAGACTAGGTTTTCATTTGCATTAATGAAACAGACCTGAGCAGTTGCAAATTCAAAAATGTTTTTTAATCTTAGTTTAGTATCAAATGTATTTCCCAGTATTTAAAACTTTCTTGCTTATGTGCCACATTCTGACTTTAAAGTCACTTTTTAAAAGTTGTATATATCCCAGCTTCTCTTTTCTGGCTTTCACAAAATGAGTA